CGCCTCGTCCATCGCAGTCGCTGTGAAGACCTCTCCAAAATGCTCGTTCAGGAACTTTACAACCGCCAAGTGGCCGCCTGCCGCTGCCGTATTCACAGCAGCTTCTGTGCAGCCCTCGTTACGGTTGCTGTGCAAAAATTCTAGAACATCCAAGAGTCCCGCGCGCGCCGCCAAGTCCATTGGCAGATCAATCTTCACCGCCGGATCAGACCAGTCCTTTGACGACAGCCGATGTAAGACTTGGATGATCTCCAAGCATGCTCGCGGCAGCACATGCAAGCACTGGAGGATCGGAATGTACACGATGTCGGCCGCAATGTCTGCCACCTCGGGGCGATGTTCCAGCAGGAACTTGACCAGCTCCGCTTCTTTATTCAAATCCACGCGATCCTCCGTCGACGCCGAATACAGTGCGCCATAGAGGGCTTCCTCCGTGCAGCCCTCGGCGCGGTGGGAGTGCAGGAACTTCACCACGTCAAAGTGCCCATTCTCCGCGGCGCGGTCCATCGCCGCGACCGTCGCCTCCGCTCCACGATCGTGCAGGAACTTCACCACGTCAATGTGCCCATTCTCCGCCGCCCCGTCCATCGCCGCGACCGTCGCCTCCGCTCCACGGTCGTGCAGGAACTCGACAAGGGCAAGGTGTCCCCTCGCCGCAGCCCTGTCCAACGCCCCGGCCACGCACTCCATGCCGAACCTGTTCAAAGCCCATTCGACCACGTGCAAGTGGCCCCACACGGCTGCCTCGCCAGCGACCTGGAGCGGGGGTGCCAACGTGCGTTTCAAAGGGCTTGAACACGTCCGCCCACCTCAGCAGGTCGACACGGCCGACGCGGGCCGCGGAATCGATAAAGCCGTTGCCGATGCGAGCTTGGGCTGCGCGGCAAAGAGTCCGGCGACGCGGTGCAGCGGCAGCCCGGACAGTGCAACGTCCCTCGCTTCGATAGGACACTCACCGCATGGCCCATGCCTAAGGAGGTCCTGCCAGCCGCGGGCCACGGCAACAGGGAAAAGCTCGCGCTCGAACCAGTACTCCATTGTCGATTGGACAGCGGTGAACATTAATCTGCTTCGGATGAGGAGGTAGTCGGGGTATTTGAGCGACATGCCGTCCTTTAGTACCGCTGCAAAGTTGAACGCGGCGTGTGCGGCAGTTGCTGCCGCGGCAGCGGCAGGGGTGGGTGCTTCGCGGGGATCGATGAGCAGGTGGTGGAGGTCGTGTTCGAAGATGTCGCGGAACGCGGATCTGGTTCGGTCCCGATCAGCACCTATGAAGTGGGCGCGGAGCGGTTGGATGGCGACGCCGGAGAGGTGTTGGGTTACTGGGCCCGCGAGGGCGAGGATAGCGTGCTTCAGTTCGGGTAAGAGTTTGTCCCACAAGCTGCGGCGGACGCAGGAGGTTGTCGGAGCAACGGCCACGGGGCGGTCTGCGGCAGGAACGGGGTTTGCCACGGCGCACATGGCATTGGGCGGTGAATCCAGGAGCCCCAGGCCGGTGAGAAGGGTTGTCACTGCGGCGACGGCAGCTCGGAGGGCGCTGAGGTGCTCGCGGACGGGTTCGTTCGATGTGGAAGAGGTTCCGGCAGTTGAAACTGCCGCAGCGAGCGTCCTTGCGGACACCTGGATGGCGTGGAGCTGGGCCTCGACGCCGGCTAGTTCAAACGTCGTCGTCGGCCTCCGCTGACCAATGGTGGTGGTGGTGTGTGTTGAAATGGCAGCTTCGACCGACGACTCCATCGCTCACCGCTGTCGTCACGAGCAGTGCCTTTGCCGCCGTCGACAAGCGGTTGGTTGGGCTTTTTCGGTGTTTAAATGTAATAGTGGTTTTTGAAGGGGACATGTCTAAATGGCAAAGTCGAGTTTCGGGGGTTTTGTTCATTGTTGATTGAATTCCTTTATTTCAAGTTCATTTCATTTTACTCCAACCATTGGCGCGTTGTCTTACTGTTAGATATTCTGTGCTGAAACAAGTTGCAACCGTCAAACGGTGAAACAAAATTCTTGCTAATTTCAAATCAATGCAGAGGTGAGCTAGAGTGCACTAAGGAGAATAATTCGGCGACATTGCGCATCGCAGATAGGCACCCCGCAAAAGCAAAGCAAGAAACACTTGAAAAACTTGAAAGCAGATGGATGATTGCCGAAGAAAAAGGAGAGTCAGTCGATCTTTGATTAGGCCATCGCAGAAATTAATAACAGGCGGTCTACCTCCAAAGCTGTGAAGGCGGCTTTGGAATCCAGCCACTTCACATTACCATTGGCATGAAAATAGCCGGTACCACCGCAAGCAAACTAGAATGAAAGAGGCGTTTTACACAGATTGTATATAGATAGGGTCACCGCATGTCGCGACCAATTCACAATGGTGTGCAGATGGGACTTGCGAGGAACAAATAGTGGGCACAGACAAGGAAGAGGACGAGAAATGCAAAGAATGAAAGGGGAACCGTGAATTCAGAGTCAGGGGGCAAAGTAGCGGAGCAAAACAAGCAGGGTTTTTGTAGAGGGGTCGTGGAAGCATGAGCGTCGGAGGCGGGGCGCATTGAGCCGTTGCGACGCTGGTTACAATGTTCGGAGAACGATGAGAGGATTTTGAAGAATAGGAGGTTGAAGCGACTTACTCGACAATTGGAGTCACAACGACCGTGCTGTTTACGTGGTTGTTGAAGAGGTCAAACGGAACCTGCCGTCGCACGGCTCAAACGTAGCGGAGGCTGTGGCGGGGGCGAACGTGAAGGCGGCGAGGTGAGGAGACGCGAGAGGTGAGGGTGACGAAAGTTGTCTCATAAGCGACGCAACGTACCTGCTGGGCTTCTGCACTTGCACTACGCTTCGCGCGCACAGATAAGGCCTCTGCGTGCATGGTCTCAACCAAACAAAGTGACCAAAGTAAGAAAAAAGCCTTCAGAGAGATAGGTGGTTCGGATACTTTCTGACTCGGATCATCGTGTTGATCCAAAGGTATCGCTCTCTCGCTCTCTCACCTCTTAGTCACCACGCAGAGAGACACATAGAAAGAGACAGTCAGAGAGAGAGAGAGAGGGAGAAAGAGAGAGAGAGGGAGAGAGAGAGAGAGAGAGAGAGAGAGAGAGAGAGAGAGAGAGAGAGAGAGAGAGAGAGAGAGAGAGAGAGAGAGAGAGAGAGAGAGGGAGTGGGGATAGGCCACGCTACTGGTGTGGTTACCACAAGACATACATTCACCACATGGAAAGGGACTGCCATGACCGCTGCAAGCCAGAAGTCGCCCATAGGCCAGAGCCAAAGGCTACCTCAATCCATCAAGGTCTTGGACTAGTTGAAGGCACCAGGTGTGAGTTCTGTGCAGAGATTCCAAGCTTGGCCACCAACGCACACACGCACAAGTCTGAGCACCGCCTGCACATGTGCTGAGCCAATGCCATCTCAGCCAGGCTCCAAATGCAGCACTTCACACCTGCTCAACCAAACCATGCTTCAGCCTCAGCAACTGTGGCTGTACTGCAAGCAACTCTGTTCCTTTCTCTGGATTCCACCCTCAATCTGCTACAGGAGGGCCTCTGTTTCTTCTTCTTCTCGAATAAATGGTCTCTCTCACTTCTACTTCTTTGTGAACACTACAACAGTGAGCGTGTCACACACAGGCATAGCCTCTCTTCCGTACATGATAAATTCTGGACTGTACCCACAATAATCCCACAACAGGAGCAATTCACTGAGTACCAGCAATTTGAAACTGAAAAGGAACTGCCCCTCTCTGTGTTGCATGGCCTCTAAGACCCAACTGCTGGGATGCTATTCACTCAAGACACTTGCATCTCAACACAGCATCAAGATTGGCGAACGACACAACGGCCTTTACTATCTCATCCCAGTCCAGCACCCAGCTGCACAGAGGACAATTTCAGTTGAGCCCATTGAGTATGCATCACCAGCAACTGCACGCTACCTTTGCCACTGACGTTTTGGCCACATCCACCGAGAGCAAGTATGCGACAGGTGATGTCGACGGTGCTCCTGCTCCACCACCAACAACACGCAAGCCTTGCCTCATTTGCGACATGGCAAAGATGTGGCAACACCTCATGGCCAAACCTCATTTTGATTTTGCTCTGCTGCAGATGCTGTGTACCGACCAAACTGGCAAGATCAGTACATATTCTCTTGATGGTTTCAACTACTTTGAAGTTATGTCAACTATGCGTGCCAGTCACGTGTGCCTAGCAACTATTACAGCGTGCATATCATCATTAGGTATCAATAATTCATAACAGAGTTTTTCTCTTTCTCTCCAAGTTGGGAGAAGGACCACCCACAAACACACATCACCATTTCATTCACTCCTTCCACTCACTCACTCAGAGCAGACTGTTTACAACTTGAGTGCGGCGCCTTTGACCAGCTTGTCCATCTGACCACAGGCATAATGTGTTTGGCAAGGGCTCTTGTTGTTGCTATACAAAACTGCTACAAGGACCAAGGCTTGCAAAGTGCTGGAATACACTTTGCACAGGTGCCCATTTGCACCACAATGTCAGGTGAAACCTCCTGTGCACTGCTTACTCAAAAGGTCAAACCAAAAAGGTGCATTCTAAAAGTCTTGCTGTGTAAGATGCAAGTTTTGCTTGTGGCTGGAGGATCAGCTTACAATTGTACATCCTTCTCAGCCCACCCCACCCTGACACAATTTTCCCCTAACGTTGCACATCCATCTTCCACCGAGGGCCAAGGTGTTCTTGGACCAAGCTGGCGCCACTTGGCCTGGGCTTCACAGAAAGAGTCCAATTACAAACTAGGAAATATGCGAGACTTGCCGTTACAGTAGGGAAGCATAAGCGCCATGCCCTCTGGCTCAACGTTGGGCAAAAGCAAAACACCGGCAGGGATTCAAAACCAAGCACTTTGCACACGCAAAGATTGATGAATTTGCAGAACAATTATAACTGCGCAGGAATGACCCAAGTGGGTGCACCAGTTGCGGCTCATTTGTCTATATGCTCAATTTTCAGTGGAGCGATGGATCAGGGGGCTTCCGGGACTTGAACCCGGGACCTCCTCCACCCTAAGAAGGAATCATACCCCTAGACCAAAGCCCCTAATGATAATGCATTAACCTTGTCATCTTTCATCTTAGAAAATGCAGACTTGACCTCTGGCTAAATCTGGCAGTGTCCCAGGGCCAAAGGAAGAGGAAATTTCAATCTCAGCTGTTACCTTCCACTGGTGCCTATGTCCTCATCTCCACACAAACACACATAGCCCAGTTCTATTGTCACAGGCGGTTAGCGAAATAAGTGAAAAGGCGGCGGAGCTCGTACTTTTCCGCAGTACAGTGGTCTGCGCGGCTGCGGCGGAGGCAGCGAAGCAGTGGCGGCGGCGGCGGAGGTTACGATAGCGGCTGGCGTGGAGGCAGGAGTGGAGGCGGTTACCGAGTCGAAGTGGGAAAGCCAGCCAGTCAGCTTTCCTTGTTTGTATTGTTGTGGGGTTTGTCTGGTTCGAGTATTGGATTGGTTCGGGTTTGAGGTTTGGTGGTAAAAAAATCTTGAAACACACGCCACGAAGACACACCCAAACAAACAAACAAACACGCGAAAGTCTCCCACAAACAAACACTCCCTGTTGAGACGAAAGCCCCGGTCTCTCGGTCGCCCCCCCACCCCCACTGAGAGGCCATCCATCATGACAGAGGCGGTAGCTTGGAGGTAAAGTCGCAGAGAGAGAGGGCGTTGGTTGATAAGAGGAGAAAAAGTGCTCCATGCAATGATCAAGTGTTCAGGCCTGCTGACAATAATCCTTCCTAGCTGCCAGCAGTTCAGGGGGGGGGACACTGTCGACTCTGTCGTCCGTTCCTTCTTGGTGAAGAGTGGGCAAGCCCAAGCATTGTCCGTGCGTTGAGTGAGCTCTGCAGAGTCCACCGTCAGCGGGCGGGCGTTGTGAAGACTACCGGTTCTGGAATCAAGACCAACCTAACCCCTTCTTCTTCTTCTTTTTTTTTTTTTTTTCGTTGTTGTTTTCGGCTGTCTTTGCTTCATTCGGACTTGTCAACTGCCAAACGACTTGGTCCGAAAGAAACAATCTGCGCAACACAAAAATCCATGACATGGCAAACGGCAACAACAAGGCCGCCGTGCGATCCCTCGTCTTTGAGATTGTCAGCAACGGCGATCTGAGGTATTTAACAACCATCCGATCGTTACTAACCGGGCCCCCCGCCCCGGATGGATCTATTGATATGAGATGGATAGAGAGAGAGAGAGAGGGAGAATTTGGGTGGGCGTATGATCGCGCTCGAGAGAGGGGCAAAATGGGAAGAGGACCTCGCACGTTCGGCAAAGTGGCATGCCCATCCATCCCCCCCCCTTTCCCTCCCTCGATCTCCACAACATTCCGCCCCATGGCCACACAAGCCAAAATGCAACTAACCCAAGCAACCCCCGCAAAACAAAGCACCCTGACCGCCCGCAAAGTCCGCAACGACGTCATCGCTCGGATGCGGCTCGATGCCGCCGTCGCCGACGAGGTTTGTTCGCGAAGAACCGTTCTCGCCTTGCGTGATGATGGCGTCGGGTCGAGCTTTGGCTGAAAAAACACTTACCCCCCCCCCCCTACGTGAAACAGCCATCGTTCAAGACCCTCGTCAAGACGTGCATCGACGAGGCGTTGGAAGCGGCGGCGGCTGGCGGGCCGGAGCAGGCGGACGAAAAAAATGAGAAGGAGGAAGAGGGGCGGCCGCGCAGGGGTGCGCGGCGGAGGAAGGGTGGGGCGGCAGCGGCGGTGGTGTCTGACGAGGGGGATGAGGAGGAGGAGGAGGCGAGGCCGGCGGCGAAGAGGAGGAAGAAGGCGGCGGTGGTGGAGGAAGAGGAGGAAGAGGAGGATGACGTCGACGCGGGTAAGAAACCCGGAAGACGGCGGAAGGACGAGGAAGAGGGGGCGGAGGAGGAAGGGAAGACGAAGAGGAAGGGGAAGAAGAAGAAGGGTGCGGCTGTTGTTGCGTCTGACGAGGAGGAAGGTGAAGAAGAGGAGGAGGAGGAGGGCGGGGTGCGCGCGCGACCGGCGGCAAACCGGAGAGCCGTTGTGGCGTCCGAGGATGAAGACGACGGCGAGGGTGGGGCTGGTGGGAAGGCGAAGCGGGCGAAGGAGGGCACAGCGGCGAAGGAGGAGAGTGAGGAGGACGACGAGGACGAGGAAGAGGAGGAGGATGAGGAAGCGGAAGAGGACGATGACAGCGACGACACTGGAAAGAAGCAGGGGAAGCTGCTGTCGCGGGAGAAGGACGACGGGGAGAAGAAGAAGAAAGGGAGCGAGAGGGACAAAACAAACAAGAAGAAGGGCGCGGAAGGCGGGAAGCGCGCAAAGTCGGCGGGGGGCGGCGGCATCGGGGAAGCGGAAGGGGAAGGATGGACCCGAGGACGATGTGAGTCCACTCGATCATTTACTCCGGCTTCTTTCCCCCCCCCATTCGTTCTTGTCGTGGCTGAACTCCTCCTCCTACCCCCTTCAAAACGGGCGCCCCCTCCCACACACAAAAAAGATTCCCCTCACCCCCAAATCGCGCGCCGAGATAGACCGCCTCAAACGCTACGTCTCCCTCTGCGGCATCCGCAAGCACTGGGCCGCCGAGTTCCGCGGCCTCCCCGCCACCGCCGCCGCCCGCGTCGCCCGCCTGCGCCACATCCTCGCCTCCGAGGCCGGCATCAAGGACCGCCCCACAAAGGAAAAGTGCGAAAAGGCGAGGCGGAAGGGAGTGGGAGAAGGAGGTCGGCGAGCTGGACGTTGGGAATATTTTGGAGGAGGATCGGGGGGAGCCGGGGGGCGAAGGTGGGAAGGCGGGGAGGAGGAGGAGGAGCGCGGCGACGTGGTGAGCTTGTGATGGGCGGGGCAGGGAGGGTCGTTTATTTTTTTTTCCTCGCTTTGTTTATATAAACGTTTTCTTCGCTGTTTTGCCAGTATTCGGCAACCCCGCTAAAGTTTGTTGATGCGCGGATTATCCAAGCGCGCGAAACGGGAGGTAAAGGAGAAACGAAAAGAAGCGGAAAGCGGCAAAGCAAAGAGAAACGGCCGCAGGAACCGACATAAAAAAAAAAAAAAGGACGGGAGAAGCAAAAAGAAAAACCGAAAAAAACTGGACCCAAACGGGACCGTGGAGCTTTGCAGGAACTCAAGCGTTCCCGAGAACTTTGTCCACCCACGGGTGCTTGTCCTTCCACGCTGGCGAGAGAGAGACGGGAGAGGAAATGGGGGTGGGGGGGCGTTACGTCAGTTTTCTTCTTCAAACGGAAACCTAAAACGAAAGTGCAAAACCGAAAACAACAACAACAAAAAAAAAAAAAAAAAAAAAACAAACAAAAAAACAACCACTCACCCCACGCCGTCCGCCCGACCCCGTGCACCTCCCTCAACCTCCCGCACCCGACATCGCCCCCCGTCGGTCGGTCGTACCGCATCATCTGCGCCGCCGCCGCCGCCGCCATTCCGTCCCCTCCTTCCTCCGCGTAATGATACGCCTCGGCAGCGACCAGCCACGCCGTCGCCGACACCGGCGTCCCCACCAGCGAGTCGATCTCCAGGAACAGCGGCGGCGCCTCGTCCGCCGTTAAAGGCGAGGAGGAACCCACGTCCATGTGCACCGCGCCGCGCCCGCAAAACTGACCCGTGGATGTTCGCGACCCGATCGCGTACGGTCGCGTCGGGACCATGAACGGTGATCCACTGCTGCTGCTGCTGCCGGTGGTGGTGGTGGTGGTGTCGGTGGTGCTGGAGGGCGGTGGGGTGTAGTGGAATCCCCAGCGCAGCGCGTCGACGGGTTTGCCAAAGCTTGTCTGTCGGGTAATCGTAAGAAATTTCAAACAGCCCCCCGCACAGCCCAAAAAGAAAAAAAAAAACGGTTTCTTACCTCATAGAACCCATCCTCCGCCACAAAGTGCCTCGCCGCCATCAGCTGCACCCGCGCCGCCACCCTATCCACAACCATCACCCCCGACCGGATCGCCGGGCTCCTCCTCCTCCGCCGCCGCGGCGCCTCCCCGTCGCCTCTCCCCCCCTCCTCCTCCTCCTCCTCCTCCTGCTCCCCCTCATCCTCCGCCGCAAACAGCGCCCGCACGTCCGAGTCCCACGCGTCCGCGCCAAAGTCCGGCCAAAACACGGCGGAGCGGCCGTCGTCCAGCAGCGCAAACAGGTGCGTCGGGTCGCGCAGCGGGAGAAAGTTTTGGTTGAGCACCAGCGCGCGGGAGAAGGGCGCCTCGAGGACTGCGAGGACGGCTTTGGCGGTCCAGGGGAGGTTGTGGGGGAGCGTGTGGTGGCGCTGGAAGGCGGGCGTCATGTCGACAGGGGTGACGTTGAAAGCGCTGTGAAAGGGGTTGGGGTGGGGGGCGGGGTTGGTGCTATTCGCGAAAACGGACAGAAACGAAAAGAAGAAAGAAAAAAAATAAAGAGAAAGAAGGGAACCGCGCCGAACCGAAAGGACAGCCAAGCGGTGGCCGGGATCGTGCGCTTCAGCATCGGAAAAACGATCGGCAGCTTGCAGCCCAGCCGCCGAAGCATCGCGCTGACGACGAGCACGCCCTGGATGTCCTGCTCCCACCCGGTCAGTATGATCCCATCTCCTCCGTTTTTCCACGTCGAGGACGTCGACGGATGCCAGACGGTCGCGTTCAGGAGGGACGCTTCGAACGCGCGGAACTTGAGCCGCGGGATCAGCGTCTTTGCTTCGGCCATTGTCGAGCGGAGCCGCTGGTCGAGGTCGAACGGGAGTGGCGGCTTCCACGCTGTGGAGGCGGTCAGGATGAGGAGGGGAAGGAACGGTGGGGGTGTGCGGTGGGGGCGAGGGGATGGTAACAAATGACAGTCAGGGTGCAGAAGGACAAAAGGCGGGGCCAATACAGCGTCCTACGTTTCAAGCGGACCGCCGCGCCGCCCGCCGGCCGCAAACAGTCCCTAAACACGCCGACGCCCGGACCGTACGCAGCGCTCTCCGCCTCAGCCGCCACCGCAAAGTGCACCGTGTCGTCGCCGCTGTACCCGTCCCTCAGTGCCCAGCTGTACACAAACAACGGCGCATCCGTCCGAACGCCGCCCCACCCCGCGTGCGCCACGCCCT